GGAGCACTTCCAATACATTATCCACGCACAATTCCCAGGCAGGCAGAGTCCAACCACACAGCAGCAGTTCCTGGGCGTGCATAGCCACGCGAGTTTCCTGGGCTGGTTGGCGAGTTTGCTGGGGTCAGAGTCCATAGAGCGAACGAGGCAGCGGGAAGGAAGGAAAAAATGGATAATGACACAGGGATGGCAAAGGGGTACCCGAAAGCCCATGTTATGGGGTGGAGGGGGCAATGCCTTGTGTAAGGAGTGAGGAGAAGGAAGCTATGCTGCGGAGGAGGGACTTCTACCCACACCGCTGCTGGAGGAAGAGCAAACGCTGGCTGCCTCCCCAAGGCAGGCAGTAACAGGCTGCTCCTCGCCTTCTCCTCCTCCTCCTCCTCCTCTCTGCTCCAGCTGCTGCGGGACAGGGTGGCGCCAGAGGTGCCTGCCTTGGCAAAGGGGGACTCTCACATCAGGTTGGGCAAGTATCGAGCAAGTTCCTAGGATCATGATCCTTTCTTGGCTCTGGAGGCACTTTCCCATGCAAAAAAACCTCCTCTGTCCTGCCAGTCCCAACACTTTCCAGATCCTCCCAGTTCTCTTACCGTGTCATGTGGCTGAACACTAACAAATTCCCAGCCAGGATGATCATTAGTTCCTCATATTAAAGGCATCTACTCACCAATTAACATCTTTGGGCCCATTTATTGTCTTCCTGAAGTGCCAGTCACTTGACCAACTTGATAAACTTCTATGATGAAATGGCTGGCTTGGTAGATGAGGGGAGAGCAGTGGACATTGTCTACCCTGACTTTAATAAGGCCTTTGACACTGTCTCCCATAAGATCCTCATAGAGAATCCAGTGGAAGTACGGGCTGGGTGAGGAAACAGTGAGGTGGACTGAAAGCTGGCTGAATGGCCAGGCCCAGAGGGTGGTGATCAGTGGCATAAAGTCTAGCTGGAGGCCAGTAACTAGTGGTGTACCCCAGGGGTCAATACTGGGTCTGATCCTGTTTAGCATCTTCATTAATAATTTGGATGATGAGGCAGAGTGTACCCTCAGCAAGTTTGCTGATGATACAAAACTGGGAGGAGTGGCCGATACACCAGAGGGTCATGCTGCCATCCAGAGGGACCTTGACAGGCTGGAGAAATGGGCTGGCAGGAACCTTGTGAAGTTTAACGCGGAGAAGTGCAAAATCCTGCACCTGGGAAGGAATAACCCCAGGCACCAATAAATGCTGGGGACCACCCAGCTGGAAAGCACCTTGGCAGAAAAGGACCTGGGGTCCTCTTGGACACCAAGTTGAACATGAACCATCAATGTGCCCTTGCAGCAAAGGACATTAACAGTATCCTGGGCTGCCTTCGGACGAGTGTTGCCAGCAGGTCAAGGGATGTTATCCTTCCCTTCTACTCAGCACTGGTGAGGCCTCACCTGGAGTGCTGTGTCCAGTTCTGGGCTCCCCAGTATAAGAGAAACAGGGACACACTGGAGAGAGTCCAGGGAAGGGTCACAAAGGTGATTAAGGGAGCACCTCTTCTATGAGGAAAGGCTGAGAGTGCTGGGACTGTTCAGCCTGGAGAAACGAAGGCTCAGGGGGGACCTTGTCAATGTGTATAAATACCTGAAGGGAGGGTGCAGAGAAGATGGAGCCAGGATCTTCTCAGTGGTGCCCAGCGACAGGACCAGAGGCAATGGGCACAAACTGAAACACAGGACACTGTGTTCCTCTGAACATCAGGAAATGCTTTTTTACTGTGAGGGTGACTGAGCAATGGTCCAGCTGCCCAGAGAGGTTGTGGAGTCTCCATCCTTGGAGATAGTCAAAAGCCATCTGGACACGGTCCTGGCCTGCTGGCGCAGGGAGCGCTGCTTGAGCAGGGGAGTTGGACCAGATGACCTCCAGAGGTCCCTTCCAACCTCAGCCATTCTGTGATTCTGTGAAAGGGAAGAAAGCAGTATGCTTGAGAAGGAACATAGGAAGCACCTGTTAATATGCCAATGCCAGGAAAACAGGAGCATGATGAACATTTCAAACCAGGGGACGTCAGGTTGCCAAAGCCTCAGTGCCCTAGAAGTCAGGCCGGTGAGAGCAATCTAGCCAGAGGTCACAAAGCAGTAGAGGAAAGCAGCAGACGGCCATGGAGGAGCACACACAGACTGCTTCCAGGTTACCTGCCATCAAATCATGAACGCTGCACACAAATGGGAGCAGTATAGCTCAGTCCACTCTGGCTCAAGGGATAGTTTCCTATGGAAGCAGGCTCACCTACTCGTATAACTGACCCTTTTCCATATTGCCCCAAGCTCCCAAGAGCCCAGAGAGACTTCTCGCAGCTCTCTGCCTTGTCCACCTGTCTGTGCCTAAGGATGGCTGGAGTCCGGGAGACAAGATGAAGTTGCCTCTCCCCCAGCCAGGGGAACGCAGGCATCCTTAGCCTCTCCCTGGGCCTCACCCAACGCAGGCAATGCTCGGCAGGTTGCTGCTTACATCATCCAGCCAGCAGTTGCCACAGTAACTGCAGTTATGGATGAAGGATACGAGGTTCCTGGGGTAACGGAACGACTGCCACCCGCCTGGGTGTTGTCTCTATTGCATGGCAGGAAAGGATGATACAGTTTTCTTAAGGTGAGAAAATAAATACCCTTCCCTACACTACACCAAGCCGGGCTTCCCATCCACTCCATCCTCTGATGCGCTGCCGCAGCTCCACCCTCCACAGCCCTGTGCTCCCTGGCAACTGCACTGCTTCCTTGAACACTCAACCCAAGAAGAAAAACTGCTTTAGACAAGAAGAAATCAGCTTACCGAGGCAGGAGCCATCATTTTTTCCAGTTTCAACAGCAGGTGTGCTCTGCAGGCCCACCAGACCCACCCCACAGGGAACCAAGGCCTGACCCCCATGAGGATCACAGACCCCTTAGTGTCAGTGGCTGAACGGATGTCTGAAGGGCTTGGATGGAGAACTCACCGGCCCTCAGGGACCCTTGCAGTCTAGTTTCTAATAAGATCTGCTCACACTCACCTTCGTTACGTGCAGGAGTGATAGTAGCAGAGGGAAGCCACACAAAACCAAAGCCTGGCAGACCTTATGGACCCCTATAGTGCTGCTCTCATCCCCATTCAAGGCAAGAGCAGCCCCGTGGCTAGAGGCAGCACTTATCCCTCTGCTTCCATGGCTGGGGAGAGGAAGCATTTACAGGACGCAGGTCACCCCTGCCTGGTGCCCTCAGCTACATGAAGAACCAAGGGAAGGCCAGGTAAAGCCTATTCCCCTTCTGCTCCAAGTCCACCTCTGCTTCATAGCAAAGCCCTCAGGGAGAGGTGCACCAGATCAAAAGAAGTTACATGGTCATAAGAGACAGGGATCAACCACGGCCTCTGCTGAGCTCTTGTTTTCAGCTGCAGCGGCATGAAAAAGAAAACCTACTCTGCAGGCTCACCATTTGGGATCCAAAGGATGAACTCCAAAGTCTCTTTGGAGAGGGCCCAAACACAGGCTGTTATGATCCGATTAGCTACTGGATTCCCTTCTGTTTCCTGGTGTGCCAGCCTGGGAGACCACAGCCTCCAAACTCCCATCTGCTGGCTGGGAGAGCTGGAAAGGACAGAGCAAACAAGGCAGAGAGCACGAGAAGGACTCACCCTCAAAGCACCCTAGAAAAAAAGGGGACACCTGCCGGGGATGCTCTTGCTGTGCACCATCTCCTCTGTACACACACATGTAACCAACTCAGCCTATGCAATTTGCAGCCATACTGAGCATTCCCAGCTGTGGCCCCAAGTCACAACAACAGCACTCCCGAGTTTCAGCCTGATACAAGAACTGAGAGCTCTGAAAAGTAAGTCAGGGTCTGGGTATCTCTAATTAGGCAGCCGGAGTTAGCAGACACATTAGGTCTTGATCTTGCCTCTGCTTGATGATGCAAGTGTTGGTCAGGCACTCATTAAGGGAGTACCAGTCCTCTAGTTGTGTAATTGGAGAAGGAACAGACAAAAGGGAGAGACAGATGCATACCAAGGGGACTGATTAAGATGACAGGCAGTCTTTAGAGAGCTCTTTGGTGTTCTTTGTTTTGGAGGGCCATTTCCTAAGTTATTTTGGAGGCAGGGGGGAGGGGGGGAAAGACACTCAGCACCTGGAATTATCCTAGGGCCAGTAAGTTGCATCTAGTTCTGCCACATGAGCTGACACAGCACTAACTTACACCGAGGCTGGTTATTCAGCTGAACAGCTGATCTCTCAAGTGGAAGATGTGATGCTTGGTTACCACCAACAGCTGTTAAAGGGGCTGAAGGATTTGGCTCCCATATGAGGAAGGGAGGCAAAGTACCTTCAAGCAATTTCAAACGCTTTTCTTACCCAATCTGTTTTCTCCCTCCGGCCTGGGACCACAGCCAAACTCAGGGAGAGGACGCAGGGCATGGCAAGCTACAGTGCAATGAAGATCACTTCCAGGGGTACAGTGACACCCACCTCTCCTTCATTCAAAGCTTAGCGCAGTCAAGAAGGTCCACAGCAAAACCTTACCTGGGCAGTTCTTAGCCCTCTGCAAGCTAGATGCGTGTGACAGATTGCACCTCACCCCTACCCCTAGCAGAGCAGGACACCGCTGCATCGGGGTCCACCTGACTAGCAGCGGGCAGACATCAGCTGCAGCACAAGAAGTCATCGTTCCCCAGCGAGGAATCACCCATGCTGTGAAATGCAAAGGCAGCTGGCAAAGAACACATCGCTCACTGCTCCAATTCACCTGGCTGGACCCCATGCCCTAACACCGTAGCCCCACCGGTCACCTCCACCTCAACTCCAGTTCTGACACCCCCAGTAAGAGACAGCAGCAAACAGCAGCACGCAGACACCGTCCACAAGACACTGTCCAGCCCTCTCTTGTCTACCCAGCAGCACCCCCTTGAGTAAGGAAAGGTCTTGCCATGTCCTCATCTTCGAGGGCTCAAAGATACCCGTGCCGTTCTCATCTTGATGGGACCACAGGCAAAAAAAGGAGACCATTTCCAGCCTACGCTCACACTTTATTATATACAGAGACACGGTGAGTGTAAGAACATCAACATGGGACATGGACAGTGAGGGAGGCCCAAAGGCACTGCCCCCTGTCCCCTTGGTGCAACCAGTCAGCATAGTTTATACAAATAATACAGTATTTGAACAATAAATAAGTTTGATAAATAAGATCAAGAAATTAAAAAAACGTAGAAAGACAAAGCAGCAAGGAATGATTGAGGGCTGTGACACATTCACAGCAGTGACAATACCACCAACACCTCACCTGCACACCAGCAGCTGGAGAACAGACCCCCATCAGCCCTTTTCTCTCACCGTACTATGGCAAAATCCACCGAGGGGGAACCGGGGAGAGTCGTATAGTTCACTACTGCTGTGCTGTTGTGGCCTAGGAGCCCTCTCTTCTTCACAAGTCCCTTTGGAAAGGGTGCTTGAAAACAAGGTAGAACCGCAGACCCGCCGTGCACAGTCACAGCTTGTCTGTTTGGCACAAAAAAACCCCTCAAACCAGTCTCTTCCCTTTCTATGGTCCTTCAGATGGACACTGGCACAGTTATTAACTGAGTCAGGGCAGGGGGTGGTGGGGGAAACATCTCCAAGGAATGGGGGAGAGACGAGATGAGGCAATGCTCCCTTTCACTCGTGGGAGGCAGCCATGCTCTCATTCATCGCTCCAGAACGCTCCTTCCACATGCCCTGGCACCAATGGAGACCGGGTGGGTGACAATGCCAGCCAGTCCCCTGGCAAGGAGGGGATTACCACACGGACTGCAGAGATGCAGCTCAGAAGTCGAGAGTTACGAGTGAAGGGACAGCAGTAAAAGGCCGCCACTGGTTATCTATAGTAATGGTTATAATAGTAAGACAGCCTGTCCCCAATTCCTGCAGGAGGAAAGGCCACACGTACACACTGATTTGACCTCCCCGTCAGCCTCAAGGCCTCCAGCTTTCTCCCAGAGATGCTGGCAGCTGGCATATGAGGGAGAGAAGGACTCTGTCCATCATGGATAGCTCTCAGCAGGAGACAACTTGAACCCTGCCCCCTCCTGCCAACCCCCACTTTACCCCCAAAGAAGGGCGTTGGAATGTGAAGAAACCGGGAATTGAGGGAATAGGGCAGTGAGAGAAAAATGGGAACAGATGGAGATCTGGGATGGGGAACCCGACCCCTCTGCCCTCACATGTGCAGACTGCTACTCATCCAGGCCCGGTATCAAGTCTGCAATGCTGTCCACATAGTAATTGGGCACCAGATCCTTGGCAGCGGCACTGTCGCTGGCCATGTAGGCCTGCGCCTCTTCCAGGCGGGAGACACCCGTCAGGGTGAGGATGGTAGAGAGGCCGCAGTTCTTGCCGAAGAGGATATCTGTCTCCAGACGGTCTCCCACCATGAGGGTGCGGGACGGGTCAACGCCGAAACGCTCCACGATGCAATCAAACATGTAGGTGTTCGGCTTCCCCACCACCAGCGCCTTGCGGCCCGAAGCGGTTT